AAAAAAAAAAAAAAGATGGAATTTCGAATCCATGGGTCACTTTCTCTCTCATTGCAAAAATCTCTTTTCTCTTTCATTCAACAAAATACTAAAAAAAAAAAATTCTCTGTATATTCAAAAAATGAATTATCGATAATTTTTTATTTTAGCTGTCAGATCTTTAATAAAAATATTTATTCTGCATATTTTTTTTATTTAATGTAATTTTAACACAATTTAACGATTAAAAACGGACACTACTAATAAGACTATCTACTATTAAAACTCTATAAAAAAAAAGGAAGAAATAATATTAATTTGTGAACCAAGGCGCCGCAATTGACGATAGATTGTCCATTCCTCAAAGTAGTGCGGGTGGGGATAATAATGAAGCTAAATTGGCTTTTGGTAAATGCCAAAAGAAAAAAAAAAAAAAGATGGAATTTCGAATCCATGGGTCACTTTCTCTCTCATTGCAAAAATCTCTTTTCTCTTTCATTCAACAAAATACTAAAAAAAAAAAATTCTCTGTATATTCAAAAAATGAATTATCGATAATTTTTTATTTTAGCTGTCAGATCTTTAATAAAAATATTTATTCTGCATATTTTTTTTATTTAATGTAATTTTAACACAATTTAACGATTAAAAACGGACACTACTAATAAGACTATCTACTATTAAAACTCTATAAAAAAAAAGGAAGAAATAATATTAATTTGTGAACCAAGGCGCCGCAATTGACGATAGATTGTCCATTCCTCAAAGTAGTGTCGTCAAGCCATCTCATGATTCCGTGACCCTTCAACTCAAGGGTCAATTTAACCCCAACCTCCATTCTAATTCATCCTTGATCTCTAACCATGGTCATCTTTTAGTTATAAAATAATTTAATATTATTATATGTTCATTCCATTTTCTTTCCTTTTACGTTGGCAACAAACTATCAACTTCCGCCCACTACTCCCAACCTCATTTTCTCCACAAACTTCCTTATCTATCTCTACTAACTTTCTTGTTGATAATCTCACCTTTTTCTCTAAGTAAATACTAAATAGTATATCTCATAATCATGATTCAATTAAATATTTGCAACCCATTTATACTAGGTGTAGGTTTGTGTCGATAAGAATGATCATGTATTTAAGATTATTGCCTTGGATATATATGGGCAACTTTATAATAAAAGAAAGCGATATGTAAATAACTTGTCGTTATATAAGATTAAATTATTTAAGCTATTTAACTACATTGTTATGCGGTCTGACATCATCACAAAAAAAAAAATAATTAAAGGATAAAAAAAATTTGTTAGGGACATATTCAATTTTTGTAGCGGTCCGATCTCGGCCGTTTCCATGCAATGTTTTACAATTTCGATTTCACATGTTTTAGACATCAATGAATACATTTCACTTCACACCCTTTGCTTATTTAGGGGATGTTTGTTTCTTATATTTATTTTTGATTCTAAATCATGATTCATAGTTCTCTATAATATTTTTTTCTCACAAAAAACACATGTAAAATGAGAATGGTTCTGAATCTGTGAACCAAACGTCCACTTAATTTTTTTTTCCTCAAAATTCCCTTTTAGGTTTTAATAAGAAAGTGGAAGATTCAAATTTCAAACCAGGGATCCCCAAAAAAAAAAAAAAAAAAAATTCAAACTAGAGATCCTTAAATAGATCCCTAAAATAAACTAATATATAGATCGCTCACAAATGAACATAAATAGTTCCTTAAAAAAAAAAAAAAAAAACATGGGATCCTTTAACGTGGTCATTTTACCGGCGTGATAAATAAGAAAAATTAAGTCTCATCAACCCTAAATACTGATCTTCATTTTCTTTTCTTAATGTTATGGAATACAACATTACTTGATTGATCAACTTTTTGACACGGACTACCAAATTAATCAACCATTAATTAGATGAACTTTTAAACTGAAAAAATATCAACAATAATAAATATAAGATTTTTTATGCCTACTAAAATAATTTGGTGAGTAAGGTCATTTTTTTACTAATTAAAAAAAAAGATAAGGATGTCCTCTCACACTCTTGGTTTAGTGATTACTTAATAATTTATTAGGACCATAGATGAAATGAAATGAAAAATAACACATGCTTTAGTTAACTAGCATTAAGTGAGTTCAAAATCATATCAACACAAGTCTTAGTTAGGCAAGAATAAATCCTTATATAATAAGAGAAACAATTATACTAAGTCGTTTTTTGCCGCTATGCTATCATCACGGTGATAAATATAAAGTCTTTAGTGCCTGATGAAATAATTCGAGAGTGGATAAAATTCATATGAGGGAGTTCTAAAGTCCTTATTTTGATATATTATTATTATTATTATTATTATTGTTGTTATTTTGACATTATTTTGATGTTATAAAAAAAGTCCCTATTTTGATATTATTTTGAGCAAAAATTAACGGTTAGAAACATAGGGAGCGGGTAAGACGTAGGTATACGATAGAAAGCTACAATGGTGACTTGGCATAGTAATCGCGTGACACTGAAACGGAAAACGACAAAAAAAAGGGACGTTAGACGCCAAAAGCTGATAACCGGATCACACGGAGTCAACTAGGCTTTAGCGAATTGCAGTCCAACACGTGTAATCTCAGTCTCCCTTAACGGACATCTGCCATCCCTGAATACAATGCAACCGTACGTGGCGCCTAGTCATTGGGTACCCCACATCGAATAAAGGTATCTTTGAAGGTCCGGTGATTAATTAAAGTCAGAAAAACGTGGTTAGAGAGAAAAGCTCGAGGTTTAAGAAAGCCAAATCCATGGGCGAGAGGGTTATATAAACAGAGAGAAGCAAGACCCAGCAAACAGCAAAGAGAGTGAAAAAACACTAAAGTGAGTTTAGAGAGGTGGAAAAAAAAATCTCTCCTTTTTTTGTTCTTTTGGAGTTTGTAAAAATATTTCAACTGTTTTTTCTTTCTTTTTTCTTCTTAATTTCCCCTTCGTTTAATCCCCGCTTCTCTGAATCCCTTTCTGTCATCGTCTGTCTTTCAATTAGTCTGTTTTTGGGTTTGTTTTCTTGAAGATTTTTGAGTCAAAACTGTGGGAAAACAAACAAACCCAGAAGGGTTTTTTTTGGAAGTCAGGTGATTCAGAACAGAGATCCAGATTTTTCTCTTGTTTTTTCTTGTTTTTGAGGTTAAATTTAGTGTTGTTTTTTTGTTTGATCAATCAAGAGGGTTTGTTTTTGTAATCTCCCTCAAGCTGGTATTTTTTCAGTTCACCTGGGGTTTTCTCATTTTGCTTTAGAAAAGCTTCCTGTGTTCTTTAATTTTGATAAGAAACAGGTTGGTTGCTTGTTCTCTAAGGTATTGGAAAAGTCATGGCAGCAGCTATAGATATTTACAGCAGCAGCAGCCAAGCAACACAAGTATTCTCTGATCCTTTTAGAGAAGAGCTCATGAAAGCACTTGAACCTTTTATGAAAAGTGCCAATACCCATAATAATAACTCACCAATTTCTTCTTCTTCTCCTCCTTCTTCTTCTACTTCTTCTTATTACCCTTTTTCCTCATCTTTTTCTCAACCTAGTTTTTACCATGAAACTTGCTCACCATCAACTACCCAAGTGTTTTCTCACATGGGTTTTGAGCAAACAGGATCATTAGGCCTTAACCAGCTTACCCCATCTCAGATTCTCCAAATCCAAGCACAAATTTACTTCCAACAACAACAACAAAATAATCTTGCCATGATGACCACTACTTCCAACAACTTCAACAACTACCTCGGTCCGAGGACGGTTCCGATGAAGAACGCCGGTCCCACCTCAAAACCCAATAAGCTCTACAGAGGCGTCAGACAGAGGCATTGGGGGAAATGGGTCGCCGAGATAAGACTCCCTAAGAACAGAACCCGCCTTTGGCTCGGCACCTTTGACACCGCCGAGGAAGCCGCTTTGGCTTACGACAAGGCGGCGTTCAAGCTCCGGGGAGACTTCGCTCGCCTCAATTTCCCCCACCTCCGCCACGACGGCTCTCATGTTTCGGGCGACTTCGGTCAGTACAAGCCTCTCCATTCCTCCGTGGATGCGAAGCTTCAGGCCATTTGTCAAAGCCTGCAGGCTAATGCGCAGAAACGGGAGACCTGTCCGGAGCCAGAGACAAAACCAACAGTTGAGCCGAAAGTCGAATCGGAGGCTTCTTGCTCGTCGCCATCATCGTCGTCGTCGCCACCGCCGTCATTGTCGGATGAGTCCTCTGCGGGGTCGTCTTCACCGGAATCCGATATCATGTTGTTGGATTTCTTCGATTCTCGGTGGGATGAGTGTGAGAATTTTGGGGCGCTGGGGAAGTACCCTTCGGTGGAGATTGATTGGGACGCTCTGTGATCAAAGTCTTTAGCTATGTCTTTTTAATTTTTCAAAGTTGTTAGTTGTTTTCTTTAAGTCTTTTAGTTGTATAAGCACAGCTTCTGCGGTGGAATTTTAAACGTTGCAGGGGTTTAGCTTAGTTTGTTTAGTAGGAAGGGGTAAGATCAGATGTTTTATGTTGTAATAAAATAATTTATGTCGTGTGATTTCTCCTTTGTTGGTCGGCGGGTAGTTTTTTTCCTTGCTAGGCCATGGGAGATTTCTCTGGGTTGCGAGTCTTTTTGTATTTTCTACACTTGAATGTAATTAAGCAGGTCCACTGATATAATATTGTCTACTTTTATGTGTTTTGTGTATAACATAGCGCGCATATCTTTTTTTTTTTTTTTTTTTTTTTTTTTTTTTTTTTTTTTTTTTTTTTTTTTGTTTTTTTTTTTAAAAAAAGCGCGTATTTTTTTTTTTTTTTTTTTTTTTTTTTTTTTTTAATTTTATTATTATATTGCTTCGTTAGGCTGCATCTGATAAGAGGGAAAGAAAATAAGAAGGAAAGAAAATTATATAATCCACACGAGAAGAGATCAAATTGGAAGAAGATAAATTTTCTCTTGTTGTGTTCAAAATTTGTTGCCTCTTATGTTTCATATTAGAAGAGATGAAATTAGAGTTCATTGAAGAATTTGAAATCACTCGTATACCTCCAGAATACCTCCAGTAGTCCTCCCACCAAAATCCTAATAAACAAGCTCTTAAGGAAAAGTGAGCACAATTTAATCAAAAATAAGAAAGTATGATGAACTGCAATTAGATAAGCCGAAAGGAAAAGTGAAGATAAATCTCTTCTCAAATTTAATTATCTCGTTTGTCTTCCATACACAATTTTTAACTAATTGCTTCAATTAATTTTAGAGAAAAGTTCATTAATTTTCACTCTATTTGAGAGTTTATTTAAGATTTCAACTGCTTGAGAGATGTGTCGATGTAATTTGATAAATAAAGAGTAAAAAAAAAAAAGTTAGATAGAAGATTTGTGCTTAACATGCATAATCAACTATTCTTGCCTAACTAATCCAAACATGTACACTTACGTTTTTTTTTTTTTTTTGGGCTATAATAAAATACACTAAACATGCGTAAGGGGATAGATCTATTGTTAATCCACATGTAGTTTTGAATTTGAAATCAGAACAAAAAGTGTGCGTGATACAACTTCTCTTTAAGTGCAGTTTGTTTACTAAGTTTTGGTCAATCACCGTTTTTTTTTTTTTTTTTAAATTTATACTTTGGTTGAACATGAACACATGATGCCCACGATTAACTTGAATGTCAATTATTACCAATTATTACATAATTAAACAACTTGATTCCCAATGCCCATGATACTATTTCTTGGTCTCGCGCTATATGATATAGTTGGGCAAAAGGGATGGCGTTAATTGCGGGAGGCCACCATGTTACTTAGAAACAAAAAGTAATATAAAGAAATTTAGCATCTCATATACCAATCTCAAGAATTCAAGTCTGTAAGAAGTTGAATTTGTCCCACATCGCCAAATTACCAGATTATTATGGTGTTTATATGTGGATTGGGAGCGGTCGTTTTCCCAAGTCCCTTTTCCCTTGTAAGTATATATTTTTTTAGAAGTTCTACCTGTTATAGTAAGCATACATTCTCTACCATAATCACCATGATTGAATAACTTATAACTTCAGGCTTGCCAATGAAATGGCAAACCATTTTTTTTTTCCTTTCTTTTTGTGGCAATTAAAAAGCAAGAAGAACTATTTGTTACAAAGGAAACCACTTGCACTCTACTAGTTTGCCTATGTTTTTACCATTTTTAGTTTATAAACTTGAACCTTACGGCTTAAAATCATAGAGAACATGACAAAGTTTGTTGAACTTGTAGTAATGAAGGATTGAATTTTAGTGTAACAAGCAACAAAACATCACGCAAAAGTAATTTCAATGTGATAAAGATCGATGTTGAAACCAATCCAAACAAACATATATAAAAATGACAAATAATTCGCGTCATTAAATTTGTTGTTATCTTAAAGAAGTCATCTAATTCAAGTTACTCAAAAATTGAAGATAATACTTATTTATTTCACTGGTTCTAATCATAGTTCAAATCTTTCTGTTATAATATATATATCTTGTTCAAATTTGTCAATAAATGTTTCAAATTGCAATATTTATTGACCTCAGATTTTTTTTTAATAAAAAAAAGAAGCATCATCTTGGGATCGCTCATCAACTTTAGCAGCTTCTGCTACTTTTCTTATCCGCAGGCATTGAATGACGGGTGGGAAAAGCAAAACCATGGGTGGCTATAAAGCCCACTTTACTAGAACATAAAAATTCATCAAACGCCACAAAAATATCTTATCTCTTTTCCCTTCTGCTTGAGATAAGGAATTTGGAGGCCACCACCCCACAATACAAACAAAAATAGTCTAAAAAGATCAATTAATCAAATCCCCCAATATTCTTATTCTTTTCACCTTACAAAAAGCAGTGTTCACATTGCAAAAACTAATTGAAGGAAAGAAAGATAAAGATTTCAAAAGAGACCTTCCTGGGATCAGATCGTTATTCGAATCCTCACAAAAGCTAGCTTGTCATGATGGACCTTTCTTTCTAATTAACAAAAAGATAAAAAGGGAAAATTCTCTTGTATTTTCTTATTACGATCTGAAGATTCTTCCAGTTATTATTAAATCTTAAATATTAATGAAAGTGTACTTGCACTATTTTCACCATATCGTAAACATAATAGAGATATTTATAAAATAACTTCTATAATTTACCAAAATCCGTTTCTCCCCTCCCTAGGTTTTCGATTTATAATACGAATGTTATCTTGTAAAATGGCTAAAAAGGCATATCTAAGATAAAACACAAACCTAACTTCCAACTGGTCAGCCATAACTGAGACTAGCCCACGAAGAGTGGCGACACACATTGTTGCGACAGTCGAGAAGGGTCACGACACATGATGCCACGACAACGACAACGACAAAGAATCACGACATTTACCATTGGCGACTCCCCATATTGGTGGCGAGACCCACATTGGGGTCTTGCGACAATGACCGCCGCCGATATATATCTCACTTTTTTTCTCTTTTTTTTGTATTCCTATAATTTTGGTTTTCGTGCTTCTTTATTTCGTATTTTTTTCCTCAAAAAAGATTAGAGGCGATTTTAGAAAATACTTTTGAAATTGAAGAATACTTTTGTCGGTTACAAAATTACGGGGTAGAAGAAATTGATATTTTGGATACATGGTCAGTAACTTTGCCTTCTATATTTTACACGGTGAACCTATCTGGTGTATGTCGTTAGATTAAAATAAAACGGTCATTACTTTATTCCCCTATATATTAATAGAAAATAGTGGACTTACCCTACAATGAAATTATGGAACTCTCTTTTTTAGGCACTAAAGAATTATTATGAGAAAGAATTCTGTGATAGAGAACCAAAGAAATTTTCTGTCGATAGACTGACGGTGCAATTTTAAATTTTCAGTTATTTATCAAGTTCTCTTATTTCCTTCACATTGAATTATTGCACATAACTTAGGTTTTGTCTAAAGCATCTAATGACAAGCCGAAAAGGGTGTGTGAATGGGAATTAAACTTGGGCAATTAAAAGTTATTCAAAGGGATTCTTTGAGGGTAGAGAAAAGGTGAGGAAACAAGTTGCTAATTCTACTTTACAGGTTTTAATGATGTGGCTTTGTGGGGTATTTTCTTCTCTTTTAATATAATCAAGTAACTTAAGAATCTAATCTTAATCTGAAACTCAGAGATAAACTTTAAGGTTCCGAGGTCTTTGTTAGAGAGGAGAGAGAGAACTTTTGAAGCTCACGCGTAACGGAATGTTATTATTTTAAATTGGAAAAAAATGGGGGGCGAAGATAAACCACATATGTGACCAAAAAGAAAAGAAAGAGAAAGATGGCCATAAAAGAGGAAAAATATGATGTGAATAGCTGGGTTTCTTTTGCCAAAGGGGTCCAAAAAATACATGATACAAGACAACAATGTTTGACACGATAATTTTTATATGTTTAAATAAACCAACCATCTGGGTTTTGTCTTTACTAGGCGTGGTTGGGAGGAGGAAGTCGACCAAATAAGATATCAAAATGATGATCAGCAAAAGGAGATCAAAATGATAATAACACTTTAAAAAAAAAAAAAAAAAAGAGAGTAATAACATACAAAAGAAGACGAATTTGATCTTCGATTATAATACTAGAAATTGTGGCATAGAGGACGGACTTTGAGCCTATTAAACCGTACGTAGTTTACATGTGTGCTTGTCATTATTCTGTGAGGGCGCAGATGAAGGTTTCTAAGCATCTTATAAAGCGTCAATTTAAAGGATGGTTCAACTGAAAACCGTCTGTTGAGATTTGTCAACTATTTTAGTCCTATAATTATGTTTACCAAATTTGTTATTTAGCTGTCAATTATCTTGCCGTCAATTAGAGATAAGATCTCAATTAGAGATTTTAGGCTGTCAATTAGAGATATGCTTTGAATTAGAGATATAGGGCTTAACTGTAGGGGTCGATTTGGTGTAATAATTCCTCTCTATATAATCGTGCATGTTTTGTATGAAAGTGCGGGTGAATGTATGAATAAATGAAAAGTGTTTCTCGTTTGTATTCTGAGACCGTCCTCTATTGTTCCTCTAACGGAAAGTCTTATCATACATATATAAGATAAATAAAAGAGCTGATATCAGCTCACTATTCATCCTTTAGTCGTCTATTACACACAGTTTGGGTGCTCTTTCTTCTTTTTTTTTTTCTTACTCTACTTTTAATTTTATTCACCTAAGTTAAAGTTACTATACAAGTCAATTAAAATTACTATGCATGTCAGAATCTTACTGTGTAAATAGCAACTATAAATAGTAAGTATTGTGCAAATAGTAACAGTGAATAGTGCCAAAATTTTTCCTATAAATAGAGCTCTAAGCCTCTTCATTTGATATATCTTTATAAGATTAATGAAATTCTCTCTCTCTCTATAGTTTCTCTCTCTAAAGTTTTTCTTCTTAGTTTTGCATTTTCTTAGTTTTCATAGCACGTTATCAGCATGAACGTTCTATTCATACTGCGAATGTCTACATCCATTAATTCAAAGAAATGAGGCTCTCATCCAATTACAAGCATCTACCTTAAAGTTAAAATAAAGTAGGTCCTAACCCTAGTCATACTACAAGTTTCTACCCTTATTAATTCAAGTGAAAGGTATGTAAATATACTATATTATTTTATATTCATACAAAGGAGGGCTATGCCACAAATGTATTAT